GATATGAGACAAATAATGACGTGCACCCTCTTTTGATTTACATATTGTTTACATTATAATGCCATAATTGTCAACATTATTCTTCTATGAAAAAAGAGCCTTGTCATTATTGTTATTAGTTTTTTTTTGATGCGTGAATTGCATTTTTTATACGTAATCGTCTCTTGTTCGTTTTGTAGTAATAAGGTAGATATTTATTCTATATTGTTAACATTAACCTTGATTTAAAAGGTGAAGGGACGCCAGGTGTTATTTATATATCATCCATTTAAATTTTAAATGAAATTTCTTGTTTGCTCGCGTAAATATTTTGCAGCGCCAGACCATTATTTATGTCACCGATTTTGATGCAACAGAAATTCATTGATTGCTTTCAGTTTTTATTAAAACAAATATATATGAAGATAAATTGAAAAAGAAGCACAACATATCTGTGATATTTTTTTTATTCCTTTTGTTACTTTACTTTTTCGTCTTTTTAACACTTTTGTACTTTTTGGCATATGGAATTGATCATATCTAAGGTGATAAGTAGTAAGAGTATAAGTCAGTTTTTGTCGATTCTGAGAATTTTTCACCATCTGCTCTGCCATTGACTTCTCCGCACTTTCTGAAGAGTATAAGTCAGTTAAAGTCATACTTTTTTGCACAACGCACATTGATCCCAAGATTATAAGTCACGCCTTCGTTTATGTGTTACGTATAAAGAGTACAAGTCAAGTTATACTGTTGGTATCTATAGGCCAAACAGCTGTAGGTGACGTATTGCTATGACTTGTACTTTTGAGATTTGTTGCTGTCGTTTTATCGTGCTTTGTAACTTCACTTTTTATGCCGTGTTTTGATTTTACTTTTGAAAAACGTGTGAATTGATTTATTTGAAATACTTTTTATTGCTTGTAATCAAGTGATGATTGAAGCTGTCTTCTTCTAGTGTTAACAACAGAATCGAGAAAATTTTAGATTTGTTACAGAAAAACGATACAGGAGTTCAAACTAATCGTAAATACCTATACAGTTATTAAATTATAAGTTACTTATGCAAATTGGACTTATTATTAATATAACATACTATTAGTCTATGATGCAATAACTGCATTACCTAGGTCTTTAACATATTTTTGTCCAATTTTAGTTAAAAGTGATACAAAACTAATAGTGTTTGAAGTTGCTGACTCTATTGAGAATGATCCCAAACTTAAAACCGATGAAAAATCTCAACATAATATAAAAGTATACTACGTAATGGAGGAACCTGTCGACAATACTAAAACGATGATCGTAGATTGTACAACTGGTGAGTTAGGTAGGTAAAATGAAAATTTTAATAGTAAACGACAATATTTATGTCTTGACTTTTATTTTATTACAGATGATATTTTTGTCGAAGAAGCCAGATTTAATGATATAATAAAAATTGAAAACGAATAAGAGTTTGATCAAGGTAAATTTTATTTGTAACGTTTTCTATGAAGTCTAAAGGTTGTCAAAAAATTAGACTTTTATTTATTTATTATTTTTTTTTTTTCAGGTGATAACTGTGATGAAGATCCCAATTTTATACCGGATATCAGCGATACTGACAGTGAGGATTATATTACTGAGGTATTTCATCAAAGCCGTGATTCAACAAAAAGAGTGCGATCTAGTTCAACAAAAACATATTCTGAAAATGCTTTAACGTTAACCGCTGAAAGAAAATATACAAAATGATTGGAAAAATATATAAAAAGGAATGCAGAAGAAGGAAAGTAGAAGGTAAAGTAAAACCTGGAAGAAAAATGGTTGTCCTGCAAAACTGCCGTTCCAAGTGCAAGGAAAGTATCACTCCTGAAATCCAATCCAATATTTTTAAAGAGTATTGGAGCTTAGGCAGTCGAGATAACAGCTCAAATTATATTTCAAGTTTAGTTGAATCTAGTGAGCCGCCCAAAGTCATGAGAAAATAACGGACCGATGATCCAGAAAAAAAAAATTTCGACAGTATACACATGCATTTCACTTTAAATTTAATGGTAACAAAAAAGATTTGTCGGGGTTGCTTTATGAAGACCTTAGGTGAAACAAACATGTTTGTTACAATTGCAATTGAGGCTAGTTTAAGATCTACCTCAGGTATTGCGAAGCCCGACCAAAGAGGTAAGCATCCACCAGCTAACAAACTTTCTGTTGAGACGATTCAAGCTATTCGTAATCATATTAAATCTTTTCCAGCATACGAATCCCATTACACCCGAAAGCAAAGTACAAAAAAATACTTACCAGCTTTTCTGAACTTGACAAGAATGTATTCGTTATACAAGGAGCATGTAGACAAACCTGCCTGTAAACCTATATATGAACGAGAATTCAATAAACTAAACATTTCCTTTAAAAGTCCTAAAGTAGATACCTGTCATGAATGTGATACATTAGTAGTAAAAGGTTGCCACAAACGAGGATGATCGGCGGTGTATAAGGGAAAAAAAACAGTCACTTAGACGAAACTGACTTTGCCTATACAATGAGAAGTGCTGACAAGACCGACGCCAGAAAAGATAAAAACAAGAACAACACTAGGTGTTATACTTTCGATCTACAGCAATGCCTTCCGACGCCTTATTTGAATTCGTCTGTATCGTTTTATAAACAGTTGTGGACGTTCAATCTTACTTTCCACGAAATGGTAACAGGCAATGTAACGTGCTACATGTGGCATGAAGCGGAAGGAGGAAGGGGAGCAAACCAGATAGCAACATGCATTTATAAGGAGCTATCAAAGCTCCCACAAGAAATAAAAAAAGTAGTTCTCTACTCTGATTCATGTGGAGGACAAAATAGAAATTCGCACGTTACAGCTATGTTTTAAACACTGCTCCAACACAACCCACAATTGGAGCAGGTCGACCACAAGTTTATGGTCAGTGGGCACAGCCACCTGGAGTGCGACGTAGATCATGGAATGATCGAAAAACAAAAAAAATCTTGAAATTCAAATTTCAGTACCTTACGATTGGTATGAACTAGTAGGCAGAGAACAGTAGGTAATAAAAAAAAGTTTGCAGTACTTAGTGTAATTATTTCACAAAGATTTTTTTAAATTTGGCTGAATTGTATAAGAGGTCGTTGTCATTAAAAAAAAAGACACACTTGGAGAGCCATTTAAATGGACCGATTTAAGATGGCTGAGATATTGTTCAAGCAACCCAAAAACGGTTTTTTGTAAATGCTCTTTGAAAGAAGGAGGACATTTTCGACGTCTGGATTTGGAAAGAAGAAATTCAGATTTTTAATTGAAACCAAAGTCTTGCTATGCGTCATCACTACCAATTGCGATAGAAAAAAAATATATAATGGATCTACTACCACTAATAACTCACTGATTTTCACAGTTCTTATTTAAATTTAAAATGCAACGCATCAGTGAAAGCCAATTTGCCCGACTTAGATATGGAAGAAGAGGACTAATCCAACAGGATTACTATTTTAATATCAATTTTTAATAATTTAATGTTCGTTCAGTACAATAATGTAGGTATTTTCATTGAAATAAAATTTTTTTTCCCAAAATAAATTAAATATAAATAACTATTTTGTATTTTCTCTTTTTATTTTACCTACCCATAACTCACACTTGAACTACATCAATCAATTGAAGCTGTAGTATCACAACAAACCTATGCTACCTAGTCTAGGAGTATAAGTCACTTGTGCACCTCATTCCTAACAGTACAAGTCAACTTATTAATTGAAAAACAATAATTATTATCAAATGAAACAGTTGTAAAGATAATATTTTGTGTTAATTAAACAAAACATATGCAAAAAACTGTTCAAAAACTACATAAACAGAAGGAACCAGCATTTAAAATATTTGAATTCGATTTCTGGAAAACACTATTATTTGACTTATACTCTTACCACTTATCACCTTAGATATAAAATGGCCATCAATGTACATCATAACAATTTTTTGTACATTCGAAAGTACATAAACTACTGTTAGACAATATCCTTGTTATACATTTTAATAACATTGAAAAAGTTTACATGTTGTATAACGGACTCGCCCTCGTCGCGTAAATGTACTCTACCAACTATTTCGTGATGCTAATCTTGTAACGATCACGTCAGCATTTTATTATCGAGAAAAAGTAATACAACGATAGTATACAAGCTTAGCTTCAAAAATGTAAAGTAGTTTTTTTCAGTACCTGGCCAAATTATTAGGCCAAGCATTAATTTTTATCAACAGGAATGTTATTATTTTTTTGCATAGCAATTAATATAATACGGTAACATTCTTGTACTATTTTAATGAGAGTAGTATTCATTCTTTCTGAATGATTTCCGAAGTGGAAATTGAAACGTCAATAAACGTATTTTTATCTTTAATTTTGGCTTATTCCCAGTTAAATAGTAATTAATTTAAAATGCCACAAGAAAATAGCTTTAGAACAATATTTTTGTTGCTTATAGGATGAAATTGGTTATCGATCTAATTTAATAATTGGATCTACTAATTTTTTTGATAATCTTAAACCTAGTTTTAAAGTCTACATTATCAAATTCAGCAAAAGGGTGTCTTCTTTGCAGCTGCAAGCGTGGTCTTCTCCTTCGCTGCTCATTTTCGTCATCAGAGGATGATGATGATGAAGATAATAATCTAAAGTAAATATATATGTATACAAAATCCAAATTGTCTGATATAATTACCTTTACCTGCAATGTATTGTTGATTATTTCAAGTTAAACTAATGAATTTTCTTTATTATTGATATTTAAAGTAAGGTTAGCTGTCAACTTATTCAAAGAATAAATATGTATTTGGCCGATATTGGACTAATAACTTATTTGGAGTTTATTCATAGAATAAGTCTTATTTGACGTTGGTGAAACGCAGATTGTCAGTTTTATTAGTCGAATAACTTTATTCATTGAATAGACTGCTATTTGTCGTTGGTGAAACCGGTCCTTAATGGTACAATAATTATAAAAGATATTTTTCTCTTTTGTTACAGTGGCGGATATTAGAAATGACAAGCGTCGAGAGACGGAGACTTCTATGTGCCATTCTCTTCCACTTCGTAGCGGCTGTCTGTGTTATTTGGTCCTTATTTGTTTTAATAGATAGAGCGGCTGAAGAAGTAAGGAAAGGACTGATTGGTAAGTCTTTGCAATATAATTCTCAATTTTATAAAATCTATAATTTCCTTAATAATGAGAACAATTTTGTTATAAATAAATTTGTTTTCGCGATAAACTTTTTACTGTGATGTAGTATCATAATTAGACTTCGGCAAATATGCATATTGCATATTTTGCATATTGTGCATATTTTATGCAAATATTTCATATTTTGGCATATTTGTATAAAAGTTTGCATAAAGTGCATAAAAGTTCAGATTTTTATACTGTATTTGAAAATTTTTAAACATACCAATTTATTTCAATTCTTGTATAAAATTTTGTAGTCATTTTAATCAAGAAATGATCTAAGTACGTAATCTCTACAGGTACAAAACATTTACAATTTCAAAGAAGATCAATTTAAGTAGCCCTCAACATTCTTAGAAAGTCTCGGTCACTGAGGCATTCAGTTATTGGATAATCGCTAAGGGTTCGCTCATTTCCTTTTTATGATCTAATCCCCAAATCTATCTACAATTTACTGCATCTTAACAGCAGCTAAACGGCTAATAGTTTTGTTCCTAATTTAGGGATTTTACAAAATCTCCCAGTTTATTGAATTAGGTACCTAAACATTTGTAATTTGATGCTCAGATTTGTAAATCATTTTTGTTTTGATATTCAATGCGTAAACACTCGTTGTGCGTAACAAAAAGGAAGATTGTGATTTTATAATGCCTAAAACAACCAGTGCTTCAACTTGGATTAAACCTTATAAAGAGCTGTCTATGGATATGGGAAAAATCTACTGTTCAGTCTGTGGCAAAATTGTAAGTATCTAATATTTTCTATTAAATATCTAATATTTCATACATAGAGGGTGTTTCCAAATGACACTTACAACGTTTGACTGTAGATACTTCTCGAAAAATTGAAAAAAACGATATAGTTAATGAGGGGTCAAACTTATTTACTTTTCGAGATACAGGGTGTTAAAATTAAAAAAAATTAAATTCTTTTAGTTATTAACAACAATAACTTTAAAACCAATAAACGTATTTACTTGAAATTTAGTACTCGTAGGTTGTTTTTAAATGAAAAATAGCTTCCTTTGGTGAGAAAAAATTGTCCATGGTACAATACAATGGTGTGTATTTAGAAAAATTTTTCACCTTTACTTTTTTTTATGAAGTCAGCTATTCTAAAACACAATTATTTTTATTGTAATTGAATTAACAAAAAAAAAACTTTTGTTGAATTTTAAAATAAGTTATATGATGTGCTAATGATTAGTAACAAAAACTAATTTGTGGATTAATACTGCGTTTAAAACACTTAGCGAGTGTTTTTTTTTCCAAACCAGTTATTTGATTAACCAAAAACACCTTGTATATTTTTATATTTTAAAGGTTGGGTTAAAATAAAGGTTTTTATTTTTATTTATAGATAGCATGTGAGAAGAAATTTCAGATAGACCAACATGTGAGAACTGCTTCACACGCAAAAAAAGGAAAAATAGGAGGAAAACATCAAACTTCAATGGCTAAATGTTTCCAATCTACTTCAAAAAAATTAGATGAGCAAGAACTTTTAATGAAGACTTGTGTCGCGCATTAGTGTCTGCAAACATACCGCTTTCAAAATTAGCAAATGTAAATTTTAGTTCGTTTCTAAAAAAATATTGCAAACTTAATGTTCCAAGTGATCGGTTCTAAGAAGAAATAATGTGAACGGGCTATACTCGTCGGTGTTAATTAATATTAAGGAAGAAATTGCAGATAATTATTTTTACATATCTGTAGACGAAACCACTGATTCCTCAGGAAAGTATATTGCTCATTTATTGATTGGTGTTCTTAAAGAAGATACCTTACCAAAATCTCATCTTATTTCATGCCAGCAACTTGAGAAAACAAATGCTTTAACAATTTCGCGTTTTATACAAGAAACATTAGCAACTTTTTTTCTTCCGACAACTATTCCTTCTAATAAATTACTGCTTATTTTATCGGATGCTGCTCCTTATATGGTAAAAGCAGGACAAAATTTAAAAATATTTTTCCCAGATTTAATACATGTCACTTGTGTAGCGCATGGATTAAACAGAGTTGCAGAGGAAATACGAAAAAAGTTTCCTCTTGTAAATACCATGATATCCAGTGTCAAAAAAGTATTTCTTAAATCTTCTATAAGAATTCAACTTTATAAAGAAATGCTACCTAACATTCCTCTTCCACCACAACCTATTTTAACGCGATGGGGAACATGGTTAGAAGCAGCTAATTTTTATGCAGATCATTTTGTCAAAATAAAGAACATAATTGATACGTTAACAGATGAAAGTTCCCAATCTCTTTTGGATTCTAAACAAACTTTTCAGAGTAACTTGCTTCAACAAGAACTTTCATTTATAAAATCAAATTTTAGTTTTGTTCAAAAAACAATTACTCAGTTAGAATCACCAAAACTGTCATTGTTCGAAAGTACAGCATTAATAAAAGAATTTGCGTCGTGTTGTCGGAACGTTAGAGGTAATATTGGAAAAGATATTTTAAAAAAATTTGAAGCTACTATGGAAAAAAATAAAGGTTACCATATTCTTTCTGAAGTAGTCAGTGTTCTAGCTGGAAATATTTCGGAAACAATTAATTTAGAACCAAATGTTTTGGTTAGTTTGAAAAATGCTCCCGTTACATCAGTTGATGTTGAACGAAGTTTTTCCATATATAAATATATGTACTCAGACAGAAGCCACAAGTTTTTGTTAGAAAATTTTGAACACCACTTGGTCATTTATTGTTACCATAATTCTAAATAAGTTTATTCATCCTTAAAAATGATGTAGTTACTTAAAATAAATGTAAATCTTAATGAATAGTAGGAAATATTTAGTTATGTACACTTTTTTTTTTAAATAAAATTGTTACTATTTTACGATTTTTTTATTTATTTGTATGCATATTTTGTAAAATATTTGCATATTTTCGGGTAAACACGTGCATATTTATGCGCATATTTTCTACATTTTTATTTGCATATTTGCCGAAGTCTAATCATAATCTTTCGACTGAAATAAAATTTAGTTTGTGGATATGAAATAATTAAGTTCAGACGTTCGTCTGGTCTATATCCTGAAACTCAATGATATATCGTCGTGGTACTTGCAATAGGTCCTATGTAAAAAAAACCACTTTCTGGTTTATGAAACATACATGACCGATTCATTCAAATACACAACTACAATTAGTCATATCTCGATGGGCCAATAAGAAAGATCTTCTTCGTAGGGTTCCTGTCCGTTCCGAACGTTGGCGATAATTTTGGCTATGATGATTTTATTGGTTGCTATACGAAATAGCTGTGTGGACGTCTTTCTATACCATGCTCTCAGGTTAGCAAGCCAGGATATTTTTCTTCGTCCTGGGGCTCTTTTTCCTTCAATTTTACCCTGCAAAATGCATTGGACTAGCTCGTATCTGCCTTGATTTCTCATTATATGTCCCAAGTACTCCAGCTTACGGCTCTGCACAATGTTGACCAAATCCGCGGTTGTGTTGATCCTCCGCAGTACTTCTTCATTGGTGACTTTGTCTGTCTATGGTATCTTCAGGATTCTTCTGTATAACAATAACCATAACCATAACCAACTTCATTTAAGTAATTAAAATTTCTGATGAATTGATGAAGAATTGTAAAGATTGGAAGGTTTTTGTCCTTCCTGAAAAGTTACATGAAAATGAAATACGGTCTATTGCAGGTACCACGACGATATCCATTTTTTATGGATTTTTTCAGAGCCTCTTTCTATATGAAATCAAAATATAATTTCATATTTTGAAACTATTTGACTCAAGTTTTCCTCTCATATTTTTTGTTATTTTAAATTCAATATACAACATATTGGAAAATGGCCTCAAAAATCGCTACAATTGCATTATTTATTTATTGCATTATATAAGAGATATATTTAATTAAAGTTGGACGTATTGAAAGTTAGCTGGTTAATTATCCCGTCATTGTTCGCGTGGTGAGCGCAGCGCTCAGTTGGAATTATTTTTAAGACTTCAAAAGTATTCAGAAAACAACCGGCAGTCAGACTCAGTGTAATTTCTAATGGTAAAAACATTCTCGGCAAGCCTAAATACTATCTATCTATAGCCCAAAATCTATTCATGTGTTGAATATAGGCCTCTCCCATTTGTCTCCATTTGTCTCTGTCTTCTGTATGTCTTTTCCACATTGGACCTGCGCTTTGCTCATGGTCATTTTTCCATCTCATTTGCGGTCGACCTCTTGACCTTTTCGCAGTATATGGTCTCCAGCGGCCAATTTCTTTATTCCGTCTTCCATCCTGATATCTTTCGTTATGCCCAGCTCATTTCCGTTTTAATTTCAATGCATGATCGACAGCGTCTGTTGTTTCGGTTTTGCATCTTCTTCTTCTCGTGCCACTCCTAGCGGAGATTGTAAATCATCATGGCCACTACGACTTTGTTAGCAGCGCGCCTAAAAAGTTCAATCGAACTACACCCGAACCATTCACGTAGATTACGAAGCCACGATATTTTTCTTCTTCACACACTTCTTTTGCCCTTAATTTTGCCCTGCATGATGTTTCTTAAAAGTTCGTGCTTTTCACCTCTCACAATGTGCCCCAAGTATTCCATCTTTCTAGTTTTTATCTCATTTAGAATTTCGCATCTTTTGTCTAAAGTTTGGAGTACTTACGTGTTAGTGACGCGGTCCATCCATGATATTCTGAGAATGCGCCTATAGCACCACATCTCGAAAGCTTCGATGTTTTTTATGGACAACTGTTTTAGTGTCCAAGCCTCAACTCCATATAACAGGGTAGAAAAGACATAACACCGCAGCATTCGAATTCGTAACTTTATATTGATATCACGATTGCAAAAGAGTTTGCGCATTCTATTAAAGACTGATCTAGCGATTTCTATTCTACATCTAATCTCTTTTGTTTGATCAGTATCGTCTGTGATCCAAGCACCTACATATAACAGGGCACACGCTCAATCGTTGTATTGTCTATTACAAGATTATCTCTGATGTTCTTTGGTTTCGTGATTACCATAAATTTAGTTTTTTTCAAATTAATTTTCAAGCCGTAACTGTCACAGTATATATTGAGGCTTTGAACGAGATATTGTAGTTCTACTAGCGTTCCCGTTAGGAGAACTGTATCGTCAGCATACCTTATATTGTTGATCGTCTCACCATTTATTATCAGACCAAGATCTTCTTCCTCGGGTGCTTGTTCACAGATAGCTTCTTTATACAGATTAAATAAAAGTGGCGATAAGATACATCCCTGCCGGACTCCTCGACGGATTTGAATTTCTTCTGTTAGTCTGCCCTCAACCTTGACATTTGCTGTTTGATTCCAATATAGATTGCATATAATTCGAATATCTCGGCTGTCTATATTTTTCTTTATTAGAACTTGTCTTAGTGGTTCATGTTGTACTTTATCAAAGGCCTTTTCGAAATCAATAAAGCAGGCGTAAATTTCTTGGTTCACGTCTAAGCATCTCTGTGAGAGAACATTCATTGCAAACAGAGCCTCCCTTGTACCCAGCCCTTTTCTGAATCCCATCTGAGTGTTACTGATGTCTACGTCTAATTTCCTATAGATCCTATTATGGATTATTCTTAAGAACAGTTTTAGAGCATGACTCATCAAAGCTATCGTATATTTTGCATCTTATCCACTCGTTTTTCTTTTTATCTCTCAACGATATTCCCAACATCAGTACACGTCCACGTCTGGGCACCATATCTCAGAACAGGTAGGACGCATGCATTAAATACCTTCGTTCTTAATTTTAAAGGTATTTTTTGGTTTTTAATAGTATATGAGAGTGTTCCGAATGCAGCCCCCCCATTCTTATTCTTCTGGTTATTTCTTTAGTCTGGTTACTTTTGTCTGCTCCGATAGCTTGTCCTAAGTAAATATATTCTTAGACGTGTTGAAATTATAATAAAATAACTTTTTATTATAATTTCAATCCTCACAACCAACCCCTTTTTAAAAAAATTAATTTAATATATTTTTTATTGGTCTGAAATATTTCTTGAGTGCGTTTTATTAAACAAAAATTAACTAAAACATATTTTTAAACGATTTGAAACATTTTTAGAGTGCATTGTTTGTAGACAAATATTAATTTGTACTTATAAAATGAGCCTACTTTTTTCAACCTTTACAAGCACCCCTTTGGATGAAAATAAAATCCTTAAAATCCTAACTTGGACATGGACATAAATAGAAAAAATTTAGTTTATAATATATTACAATTTTCCAAAAAATTAAAAATAAATAATATTTATATAAAACGAGGTATAAAATAAATGAATATCTATTCATCAGATACATAGATGCATATGTATATATTAAATGTCTATTAGTTCCATCGAAATGCTCCAATGCTCCAAATTATAAAATTTTTCCATGCTCCAAAATTTATTCTAAAAAGTACTAGTGTGTTTTTTTACAATAACTCGGTTAATTTTGATGCTACAACATGCATAAAAAACGATTTTACATGTAATTATGTATAGGCTATAAGTATAGGAATGTTAAAACATTCTAAAGTCCTTCATGTTTAAAGGGTAAAGGGTCAAAGAGTCGGAGACCAGTGGTTCATGCGCTATAAAGCAAACTTCAACCAACTATATCTCCGTTATTTTTTAGGCTACAAAAAAATTAAAAAATGAAAATTTTTGTTAAAAAAAACCTATTTTTTTGTATTTTGTCATACAAGCAACCCCTTTTTTAAAAAATGAATTTAATATATTTTTATTGGTCTCAAATATTTTTTGAGTGGATTTTATTAAACAAAAAATAATTTCTTGCTTATAAAATAACATTTTATGATAATTTCAACATTTCAACCCTCACAACCACCCCCTTTGTCAAAAATAAATTAAAAAATATTTTTAACGATTTGAAACATTTTTAGAGTGTATTGTTTGTAGACAAAAATTAATTTTTTACTTATAAAATGAACCTACTTTTTTCAACCTTTACAAGATGAAAATAAAATCCTTAAATCCTTAACTTGGACATAGACATAAATAGAAAAAATTTAGTTTATAATATATTACAATTTTTCCAAAAAATAAAAATAAATAATATTTATATAAAACGAGGTATAAAATAAATGAATATCTATTCATCAGATACATAGATGCATATGTATATATTAAATGTCTATTAGTTCCATCGAAATGCTCCAATGCTCCAAATTATAAAATGTTTCCATGCTCCAAAATTTATTCTAAAAAGTACTATTGGTTTTTTTACAATAACTCGGTTAATTTTAATGCTACAACATGTATAAAAAACGATTTTACATGTAATTATGTATGTAAGGCTGCAAGTATAGGAATGTTAAAACATTCTAAAGTCCTTCATGTTTAAAGGGTGAAGGGTCAAAGGATCGGAGACCAGTGGTTCATGCGCTATAAAGCAAACTTCAACCAACTATATCTCCGTTATTTTTTAAGCTACAAAAAAATTAAAAAATGAAAATTTTTGTTGAAAAAAAAACCTATTTTTTTCGTATTTTGTCATATTTTACTTATCTTTTATAGTTTTGAAGTTATTATAAAAGAAACATTTTTTTTAATATTTACAAAAAACAACAAAAACATTTTTAATATTAACAAAAGTTAAATACTCGTATTGGAAGACAAAAACAAAAACAAACCTTCTTTGAACAGCCATAATTCAGTTAATATTGAACTGAAAATATTCATTAAAAAGCCAATCTTTTTGTTTTTTTATGAGCTTTAATTTTAGTCGTTACACTTTTTTTGATAAAACTCTTAGTTTCAGAGCTATTCTTAAAAAACCTTTGAAAAACATGTTTTTTTTTAACGAAAAATGACACTTTTCAACAGCGAATAACTCAAAAAGTATTGATCTAGCGAAAAAAATGTTTACTACATTTTTTGTTTGAAATTTGTCCTTCTATCGAATAGCGTAGTTATTTTGAGTGAAAAAATTTCCACCCTCGAAAAGGGGTGGCAAACACCCCCAGGGTGGAAGCGCACATCGGCACTATATAACTTTTGTTCCTTGAGTAATTATTTACCAACACACAAAATTTCAAATGAATCGATTCAGTTATAAAGAATTCGGAGGTAAAAACCCTCAGTAACTGGACTATACCACGATATTATTTTTGAACCTACTCCTGATACCCTTTGTACAACAAGCTGATTTTCAATTTCAATTAAGGCTCCACAATGAACGTCTGCGTACTGCCAGGGTCGTGCGAAAATTCCTCGAAGATAAAATTGAGGTCTTACCATGGCTTGCACAATCGGCAGATTTACGCCCAATTGAGCTTATATGGGATGTATTGGGCAGACGCATTTTACTACAAAATATTGAGTTTATAACATATATAGACAGCAACTGTTTGAGGGCCTTTTAATGGAATTGAACAGAATATCGCAGCAAGACATTCACCTTCTTCTTCTTCTCGTGCCACTCCTAGCGGAGATTGGAAATCATCATGGCCACTGCGACTTTGTTAGCAGCGCGCCTGAAAAGTTCAATCGAACTACATCCGAACCATTCACGTAGATTACGAAGCCACGATATTTTTCTTCTTCCCACACTTCTTTTGCCCTTAATTTTGCCCTGCATGATGTTTCTTAAAAGTTCGTACTTTTCACCTCTCACAATGTGCCCCAAGTATTCCATCTTTCTAGTTTTTATCTCAAGACATTCACCATCTGATCATAAATTTGCCTTACACATGTAGTAATCAACAACCGTGGTGGTCATACACTATACTAACTTAACCTAAACACTACTTTGTTGGAAGTTGAGGGGCAACAAATTAGTTTTTTTTTTTGTTACCATTTTTTGACTTTGAGTTCTCTTTTAATTTTCTTAAGAGCTATTGCGATAATTCTACGAAAAAATGTTTATTTTATATTCGAGACACTTGTTTATACCTTTTTATTAAAAATATTTGAAATAAATTATTTGAAATCCTTCTGTAATCTCGCATTTTGTTTTTGTCCCTTAGTTTATTTCGATGTGTGTAGAATCTAATCAGTAATTAAAAGATATATAACTAATTAAGATCATATTATAATATGAAATCTATTAAGATTATTACAAATAGAATATTTGAGTAAATATTAAATACTATTCTAAATAATACGACTTTACTATTACATTTATGCTTTAGTTGCTGTTAATAATACTAATAATATTGTTACAGCTTGGCCTTTTTGGACTAAACTTGTGGTAGTATCGGTAGGATCGACTGGAGGAGTTGTATTTATGTATATACAATGTAGGCAGTATTTACATCTTTTTTCTAGGTGGAAAGCGCACAATCGGTAAGTCAATCAAATTTACTTAATGTTTTTTTAGCGTTGTTTTTCTCTCTTTGTATATTATGTAACGATAATATTTTGCCTACCACATGGGGTATTAATATAAGGGGTAGAAAATTGGGGACAGAAATTATGGGGTGGAGATAGGGCAAGCAAAATAATCGAAACATATGCGAACGGCACTCAGGGTTTGTTAGGAGAGCTGGGGTCGTGGATAAGTAAATATCAAAGGGGTTGGATTGGGGCAACTACAAAAATATGAAACAAAGGGTCATGAATCTCTTGGGACAAATAAAACAAAAGGAAACAGGGAACACCTCTAGTAATTTAAAAAGGACGCCACTTCGAGGTGCCTAATTATAACTATTACAACAACTAGTGGTAACTATCGAAATAATTATTAAAAATGAAAAACATATCTTTTTCAAATGACACTCAAAAAAAGGTTAATTAAAAATATAAACAAAATGTTAAAAAAAATTTAACATTTATTGGGTAGTACCACAAACAGTTACAAAATAGACAATAAAATACATTAATATAATAATTTATAAGTAAAACAATAAAAACACTATATTAATAGTCAAATCACAAATATAATACAGAAATAAATTATTGCAAACAAAGAAATATCTTTTAAAAATAACTATCCCTAGAGGTTAACCTTTAAGTTGACAGCTAAAGTCAAACCCTAAAATTTTACAATTTATTAATTATTTCAAATCCTGTAAATTTTAACGAAAGCAATTATTATAATTATTAAAAAAATGGCTGTCTTTACTTTAAAATTAATACACAAAAAGTTACCTGAATTTCACTTGATCACACATTAAATTTTCTGGAACCATAACTGCAACTACAACTGGGGTTAAACTCTCTGGACACGAACAGCAGGACTGCATCTCACACTGCGAATTGGACTGACTATTAAGTCGGCATTGAACACAAAACTCGGAACTTTTCTCCTTTAAAAAAAACTGGGACAGGTAGAATTGGACTGCAATTACCATTAAATTGCTACTATTAACCGCTACTATAATTATTTTCCATAACGTAGGACGAAGAACAAAAGGACATTACAAATTTGATGAAATATTTGGACGACAATTATCTTTAAAATTCGTTCACATAACTTGAAATAAACAAAACCCTTGACAGGAATATTTATTCAAAACGCAGTACATCGGGCGGCTTAAATCAAAGAATTATCGAGAGGAAAATACGCAGCTGCGAAATAAATAAACAACTCTAAAATGGTTTATATTAACTCGAGCCGCCTAAGAAGGAATTGAAATATATTTCGGGTATTTTAACTTTACGATAGGAAACTGCAATACACTGAAATTATTCTTCGTTATTTTAATTCATATATGAGGGGATTTCAATTTAATACATATACGAGGGGATTCCAACATATATCAAGGAATTTATATACCAAAGAATTTGTAAATGCTACAATTATAAATCATCTTTTTTTTATTAAACCTACAATTGAAAGAGTTATGTGCTTTCTTAAAGTGTTTGCTTTGAGCATCTAGGTTGTACAGCCATTTATAGCACATCTCGAACCCCCTTACAAAAAAATACTCAAAACATTATGTACGCAAAAAGTTTAATCAAGTTGATTATTGATAAATAAATAAATAATATTCTATATCTTTCTGATAAATATTATTTTTTGTCTTTTTTGTGTTTCGTAAATATACCAGAACCTGGATTATGACACTCTAAAAGACCCCTTAGTTCGTCAGAACGTGAGAGATAAAATGAGACAAAAACTACAAACGGCTCAACAACAAGAACAGAGTGTAGAACAAAAATGGAGTTATATCAAAGACGTCATGCAGGAAAAGAACATCTGGGAAAGAAAAAAGGAGTAAAAAATAAAGAATGGATGACTGATGACATTCTGCAGATGATGGAACAAGGAAGATTATTGAAAAACAGGGACGCGAAGAAATACCAAGAAACCAACCAGACAATTAAAAAAGAAATACGAAGAGCCAAGGAGACATGGATGCAAGAAAAATGTAAAGTAATCGAAGAGCTCCAAGAGAAACAGGATCATATAAATATCCACCGAAGGATTCGTGAAGCCACTGGTCAATTCAAGAGGAGAAAACACACAGTAATAGTAGCGACGACAGTGAATGAGAAGTTGGTTACCTGGAAAATATATATCGAAGAACTTTTCTGGGACGACCGAGGCAACCTTCCGGAAATAAATTGCATGACAGGGCCGTCAATTCTAGAAAGCGAGGTAAAGGCTGCTTTAAAACAGTCTAAGAATGGTAAGGCTACAGGTCCGGACGAAATACCCGTTGAACTTATTAAGGTGATGAGTGAAGTGAGCACGAAGGAGTTAACTGAACTGTTCAACGCCATATACGATTCAGGTAATATCCCAGAGGAATGGCTATTGTCAACATTTGTAACGCTACCAAAAAAACGATCTGCGAAAACGTGCGAAGATTTCCGAACTATCAGTTTTATGAGTCATGCACTTAAAATTTTTCTTAAAATCATACATGCCAGAATTTACAAGAAATGCGAAGAAAATGTCGGTGAAATGCAATTCGGATTCCGCAATTCCATGGGTACACGTGAAGCACTTTTCACCTTACAAGTCCTACTTCAGAGATGCCGCGATGTCAGTTGTGATGTCTATATTTGTTTTATTGACTACGCCAAGGCATTTGACCGTTGTCAGCACCAGAAGATGGTCACCGCACTACAAAGAGTAGGATTGGATGAGAAGGACATTCGGATCATCATGAATTTATACTGGAACCAGCGTGCTCAAGTCAAGGTCGAAGACCAGCTGACCGACCAAGTGAAGATCATGCGAGGAGTAAGGCAAGGATGTGTGCTATCGCCGACTCTTTTCAATATATACTCTGAGGAGATTTTTAATGAAGCCCTCACAAACCTAGACATGGGAATCCGAGTGAACGGTGAATACATCAATAATATCCGCTACGCCGATGACACTGTGTTACTAGCAACCAGCCTAAACGATCTGCAGGCCTTACTAGACCGAGTGCGAACTGTGAGCGTAACATACGGACTGAACCTCAATATTAAGAAAACTAAATTCATGGTTGTCAGCCGTACAAATTTAGATCCCGGGGCACTAATGGCAGGTAGCGAAGAGATCCAGAGAGTCGACAGATTCACTTACCTCGGAACTACCCTCAACGTACAATGGGACTACGCTCAAGAGATTAGATCCAGAATTGAAATGGCACGGTCTACATTTATTAAGTTGAGATCCTTGCTGTGCTGCAGTGATCTCAGTTTGGGAACCAAGATGCGGATAGTGAGGTGCTACGTTCTTCCAGTGTTACTATATGGAGTTGAAGCCTGGACACTGACGCAAGCCACTGAAAAACGAATCGAAGCCTTCGAGATGTGGATATACAGAAGGATACTAAAAATATCTTATGTGGACCATGTCACCAACGTTGAGGTCCTACAGCGCATGACAAAAGAAAAAGAAGTGCTTAATTTAATTAAACAACGTAAGCTTGAGTACCTCGGCCACGTGATGCGGAACGAAGAAAAATATCGAATTCTTCAACTCGTTATGCAGGGTAAAGTATTTGGCAGAAGAGGACCGGGACGCCGTCGTATCTCGTGGTTGAAAAATCTCCGACAATGGTTTGGGATGACCTCAGCGGAGCTGTTTCGCAGAGCAGTCAACAAAACCATGATAGCCTTGATGATCGCCAACATCCGGACCGGATAAGGCACTGAAGAAGAAGAAGTAAATATACAACGAAGACGCGACGTTTAATTGTCCTTGTGCTAAATATGAAAACTCCAGGTTGATTTCGAAAACTTCCAACGATTACTTACTTACTCCGTGGCGTTACAACCCTTCGTGGGTTTTAGCCGACTCGACAACATGCCTCCACTGTTTTCTGTCTTGAGCAACCTCCATCCAATTCTCCACGCCCATAGTGCTTAGGTCTCCTGCTATATTATCTCGCCACCGGAGACGAGGGCGTCCGCGTGGTCTCCTTCCAGTTGGGACTTCCTCCCACACCAGTCTTACTGTTCGTTCGTCAGAATGTCTTCTGAGGTGTCCTGCCCATTGGAGTCTTCTGGACTTTATTTCTTTTATGATGTTGGCGTCTGGGTAAAGTTCTTCGAGCTCTTTGTTAGTTCTTATCCTATATTGTCCTGATGCTTCATCCAGCACAGGACCAAAGATCTTCCTTAGGATTTTTCTTTCCCAAACACATAGTCTCTCTTCGTTTGCCTTTGTTATCGTCCACGTTTCGCTTCCATACATCACAACGGGTCGTATGATTGTTTTATAGACCTGTATCTTCGTACGTCTTGTTAGTTGTTTCGATTTTATAAGGTTTTGGAGGGCAAAAAGACATCTGTTGCCGGCCTGAATCCTGTTGTTTATTTCTTGTGATCCGTTATTGTCTTCAGTTATTGTTGTTCCAAGATACTTGAATTCTCTAACGCGCTCAAAGTTAAAGTCATCGATGGTGATGTTCTGACCGATTCTGTCTCTGCTTTGGTTATTGCGGCTCATATACATATATTTCGTCTTGTTTTCGTTGATTTGGAGCCCCATCTTCTCTGCTTCCTTCTCGAACCTCACGAAAGTCTCCTTCATCCTTAATCGTGTGTTTCCTATTAGATCGATATCGTCTGCAAATGCCAGTAGTAAGTTTGGTCCTTCTCGATGAAATACTGTATTCGGTTTTTCGATTCTTGCACTTCTGATTATGTGCTCCAGAGCTAAGTTGAAGAGTTGTGGTGAAAGTGCATCTCCCTGTTTTAGTCCATTGTTTATTTCAAATGTCTCCGAGTATTGTTGTCCAACTCTCACCTTACATCGTAACCGTTCCATACACATCCGTATCAACCTGACTAGTTTTTTTTGGAAAGCCAAGTTCCTGCATCGCTGTCCACAGTCTGTCCCTGCATACTCTATCAAATGCTTGTTTAAAATCTATGAACATCTGATGAAGCTCACGATC